ACAAGAATTGGTGGGGGGGGGGGGCAAGTTTAAGTAATACAGGAAAAATATTTTGCCTTGCTATTATTACTACAAAGAATTTTTCAGTATATCCAAATGAGTTTCTCCATAGAACAAAGTTTATCTTTTTGAGAAAGAGGATTTATACATAATAAAGGGGCAGCCAGTTGATCTAAAGTCCTGCTAAGCAGGACAGTGGTGGCACACACCTTTAATTCCAGCCCTAGGGAAGTAGAAACAGGAGGATCTCTCTGAGTTTGATGCCAGCCTGATCTGCAGAGCAAGTTCCAGGACAGCCAGAGCTACACTGAAACCGTGTCTCAAAAAACAAAACAAAAAGTCTTGCTAAAACCTACAGTTTTCTCCAAAAATGCCTTCCTTTGAGGGCCATGTCAATCTGAATTCAGCCTCAAGCTTACCTTAAAACTATACTGACATAGGATCTGTCTGTAGCTGAGGCCACTACTCTAGATATTCACAGAACAGAACAAGTTACACAGGCTCAGAATCCCAGCAGCCCCCGCCCCCAAATCGTTTTGAATTTGAAACTTGTAGGCATAAAATACAGCTATCTACATAAGGTGCACTATGTTTCAGTTTGTACTTCTGGGTGAATAAGGTTTACTTTATGCTGTCCAAGTACTTGGCTAGGAGGCTGGCAGGATATTGACAGAAATGAATTAGGAGTTTAAAATTCTCAAAAATTGCTGTTGAGAAGAAACAGTTCCCCCACCTTCTTTGGGATTCTCATCATATACAGACAGCAAGAATTTTCAGAAACATCAATGAGCATTTTAACAACAGCATCTACAATCACACAACTGACTGAACGGGCACCTACAAAGACAAACTCCTGACTCCAGTATGGAGGTGAAGTGTGAGCCCTACCTTCATGCCTTGGGTCTAACACTTTTTGTGCTTTCTTTTAAAAAATACAGAACACATTAATTGTACAAAATGACAGATTTCACTACTATACTTTTATACATGTGTAAAATGAATTAGTGTATATTCATCCCTCTTACCCTCTTATTCATACTCCTTTCCCCAATTCCTTTCCTCTTTCCCAATTAGTATCCCAAGTACTTTCACACTTTTTTCCTAGATTACACATCTCATCTTTTCTAAAAACTTATTTTTATTATTTTGAATTATGAGTATGCATCATGAATGGTGGATGTGTGCACTACAGTGCAGGTGCCTGAGGGGGCCAGAGGTGTTTGTTAGCTACCTGATGTGGTTACAGGTAACCAAACACATGTCCTCTACAAGAGCAGTATGTGCTCTTATCCACTGAACCATCTCTCCAGCCCCATACAAACCTAATCTTAATAAAGCAACTGATTCATTATCTCCATTTGTAAAGTAAAATAACTAATGAATCCTCCCTCCCTCTCTACCTCCCTCCCTCCCTTCCTCCCTCTCTCTCTCTCACATGTGACCATTTGTTCTGCTTTTGGTTGTTTTGTCCATGAAGGTAGAAGACTAAAAACATAAAAGGTTAAATACAAGCTTTTCACTGTTTTCCAACAAGATATCCCTCCCACCATGGTCTCCAATATACTGTTATGTAATTTTTCATATTGCCACATAAGGAAAACTGCAAGAGCTCGACCTAAAAAAAGAGTCCTCTGGGCACAAAAGATGTTTGTAGAGGATCAGAAATGGCAGCTCCTGTCCCTTCTGTGAGGGCTTTGCTTTCTGGATACAGTAAAAAAGAGACACCATTCACACCTATATCTTGATAAATAGAAACTCAAGCAAATCCAACCTGCAATTGAACAGTATCTGAAAAGGAAAGTGTTCAGTATCCTTGTCATATTTCACCTGTGCCTGAGTCACTTTCTAAAATACATATGACTGGAAGCACCTGAGTAACAGTATATATTTTAGTTCTTCCTTTTAATCTGTGGAGCCAGTTAAAGAGAACTGTATCTACATAGCTTCATGATGAAGATGATTTGGCTGGGATGCAAAGGATGAACATTAAATGTAATTTCAGGTAACAGGAAGACAGCAGTTAGCTTTAAGGTCACTCTTTAGGTCTCATCTTAAAAGCTGCTTTTGAATGCTTATCCCTGGGCTCATTTTTAGTCACCAGTATGGCCCTCAGCAAGACATTCAACAAAATATAAACTGTGCTCAGTTTCTCTTAATAAAAACAGAAGCATTACTAAAATCATAGGGAAATGTCCAAAAAAGGCAAGAGAAAATTAGAAATATCAATCTATTCTTTCATTTACAAAAACCTTTACCTAGAAGAGAAAGCACCCAGGAGATAAGGGAACTCTTTCCATTAGCCTACATACCAAGGAGATGATGGTACATTCAAGGACACCGGAATGAGCCTAAGGGAGTCTTCCCCAAGTTCCCATATGAATGTAGGCAGCCAAGAAGCTTAGAGTTCTCAGAATTAGATGGGGACACCCTAAAACCAATATGAAGAACCCAACATGGAAAACCCAATCCAGCCACCCATCAGTCTCTAGAATGCTCACATGACTTGACAAGGAAATCAAATAGCATGGCAGAATTCTTCAGTGTCAACTACCTGCATTTCCATCTAGACTGCCCTTTTTCAGTTGTAGGCATTCTCTTTCTGGCCACACAAATGCACTCACTGTACAGGTATAAAATTAACTCCTACCAAAAATCATAAACAAATCACTTTTACTTGTGAGCCAACTTAATGCTGATGCAAGAAGTACTTGAGAGTGGGACATAATATTTTAAAAAGCATGACTAATTGAGTCTTAAATTTCGAATCTGGATCCTCTTCCCCTGAACTTTTTTCTTTTCATGGTTGTTACAAAGGGTTTTGAGAAGCTGGGCATGGTGATGCATGACTGTAGTCCCAGCTACTTAGGAGACTGAAGGAGTAGAATCATTTAAGCCTAGGAGTTTGAAATTAGTTTTGGGAAAACAGCGAGGCCCTGTATCCACTACATTTCATAAAAATAAGTTCTGGGATCAAATGATTCTAACACTAGTTACATAGAAAAATAAAAAAAAAATCTACACACACTCAAATCAAGTGTCTTTTCATTGTTGTTTCCTCTTTAGTTCTAAGAAATGCACTCTGTTTCTGAAAGTGCACTGCCTAGACTTAAACGTTTCTAAGCAACAGAAACACACCATTCATATCAAATATTGGCTATAATTTATTTCAATCTGTTTTTCTCTCATTCCCCCTTGGAAAAATACTATAAAATAAGTATTTTTCTATATTTCAGGGAGAAATCAGTGCGTAACTGCAAATATTGTTCTTAATTGAACACAAATTTAAACTTTGTGTTCAAATTTCTGCTTCCATCTCTATTCCCAAACAACCGTGGAATACTTGTATTTCTGAAACAAAAATATGGTCACATCTTGTATATTCCCCATCAATCTTTTAAAGGCAACATCTTTCAATTTAATAGCAACCAAAAATAATAATGGGTTTACACTGTGTCTTTTTAAAAAGGACTATAAAAATGTTTTCTGCTCCCTCTTAGGTCATTAGCATCTGATAACGTAATTTTATTGTATTTGTCCTAATTCTCAATGCTGTCTTTTCTAGCATGGTCCCTTGGTTGTCATGAAGCCAGATATAAGTATCCATATATCTATACAACCATCAAGTTCCCTATAGATCTGAAAGTCTACATTAATATAAATTCAATTGCTTCTACTTGCTCACAATTTATGTTTGTTTGTTGCTTGGTTACTTGACAGTGGAACTACTTGCACCCAGACACAGTTTGTTATCTTAGAATGAAAAGATTCACCTCATTTTATGTGAAACTTGGCTCTCTATTTGTGAAATGAGTATACCTAGGAAGAAGCAGAAAATCTCACAGAGAAATATAATTTCTGATTTCTATTTCTTTACTATCACATGCATTTATATTCTAAACCCATCTGTTTAATCACAGTCATGACCCAAAAGCCTGGCACATACCTGTAATTCAAGCCTCAGAAAGCTGAGCAGTAAGAGTAAGAATTCAAGGTGAGTCTGGGCTACACAGTGAGACCCTGTCTCAAAATAACAAAAACAAAAAATATCAACAATATGGAAGCATCTTTATGAAGTAAAAGTGGTTGCAACCTGCATCTCTTTCAGATTCTTGAGCATTTTAACATGGCAGTGGCCATTATTTTACTTTAACAACAGGACAGGATCAAGTTACTTGTCCAACATGCACTGTAACTTATTCTCTACATTTCCCAAATCCCCGTTTGTTATACTAGCAGACAGAACCTTTTATTTCAAAAGAAAATTTCTGCCACCTTCTTGACTTTTATTTCACTAGAAGCAGGGAACATGTAAAATTTTATGAATGAATATCTTCATCACTTTAAGGCTTACCACTCCCCCCTTTCCTAGATGCACAGACAGCTCAATGGAGAACAGAACTGTACTTCAAGCTATATTGTCAACATCTGCACAACAGCCAAGAGCTTGTCACCGTTCCAGCAGTGTGTAGTACTGTGCAGCCACTCAAAAGACAAAACCTTTTTTATTTCTGAGCTGCTTTTTTTCTTTTTCATTGTGTAAAGCTGGACAGATAATAATACACCTACTGGCAAAAAGGAAAACTTTCACAAGTTCCTGGAAGCACAATGAGAGGCAAAAGAACCCATTTGAGGCAAGCAGAATGCAATTAGGAAAATGTACACTGTAATCCACTTTACATTTTAGGTTCCTGCAAGTGTACAAAAAGGGCTTTCTTTTTAAATTAAAAGCTGTGCCCAAAATCTGTTCTTTTGTGAATTTATAGACTGCCTTTTTCTATACAGTTCAACATTTATTAAACCCCTATATGTGCAAAACATTATTTAGCTATAAGATGGGTACAAATACAACCACAAGGCTACTTTGGCTACCGGCTCATAGTCATAGGTTTTATCCTCCTTAAAAAGAAGCTATTATGAAATGCCTGGAGAAGACAGTTGAGGAAAAGCCATTTTACAACAGTCCTGGGACTCATTATGCATTCTTAAAGCAGCAAGGGAAATCAGAGAAATGAAGTGGTTCTTACAAACAGAGTGAAACATGCAGTAACCACCTCTAGGCCAGCCTGCACCAATTCTCTGACACAAGCAGTTTTCCAACAGGCCTTCACTCATATTTCACAGTCTCCAGTTTCATTCCTATAGAAAGCAGCAGAACAGTAACTGGGGCACGTTCTAACACCTCTGATGATCTGGTCCCAAGGTTTAATACTCTCACTTTTAAAAATGATGTCTTTGTGTCAGTCATTCAGCCCTACAGCAGCACACACAGACGTGAAGTTTACAGAAGGACCAAGTTTGGAATCATGAAAAATGAGACAAGCTGATTTTTGTCATCCCTCCATTCCAATATATATATATAATTATTGCTCTGCTTGTAGCACTTTCTTTTTCAAATGTTTTCCCTCCTTTCTAGTTTCTACTGCTTGGGAAAAGTAAAATGCACAGAGGAGGAGAAAAATTGTCAGCTGGATTACAGACAAAAGTCTATTTAGGCTATGTTTGGAGAAGTTTTTGTAAATATGAATCTATTTCCCCCAAAGCACCACAAAATCAAAAACCTTAAATTGATTTAGTAGTTATTGTTCATTAAGGACTAAATCTGTATACACAAAAGAGAAAATGTGACTATAATCAGAAAAAAGCCAAAGCCTCTGGTAAGGCTCGCTGTCAATATGCCTTTCATCAGAAGGAGGAACTAGCTGGATAAATTATGTTTAGCGTTGGTGTCTAATTATTCGTTCAGGTATATCACCAGTCTGTTTTCCAACCACTCGATCAGTCATCACCCAAAGACTTACTAATTAAACCAAGACGCCAGCACTGTGATAAATCACCAATCATTTCAAAGTTAAATCCTGCAGCAGCTTTATTTTAATTGATGGTTTCCCAGGAACTTTGCATACACATATGGAGAGGCTGTAGGATCAGAAGCCAGTTTATAAATAGCAATTAAGAACATCAAGAAGAAAAGAACTTCCTAAAAACACATTCGGACAAAAAAAATCACATATATATGTATGTATGTTTGTGTGCACACTTATCAATAAACAGTGTTCTGAAAAACACAAAGTAGGTCTAGCATAACCATTACAGAACACCTCTACTAATAGTCTGTTAAACTTCAAAAGTACCCTGTTTTTAATTTTATTTTTTCATAGAAGCATACTGTCTGAGTGCTAAAAAGTAAAATTACCCTTTATAATCTGCCCTACGACGTACTACTCTGCCCCAGGTGATAAAAGCAAGCCGTCCAAATGTATCGACCCAGGGCGGGGAGAGAAGCAATTCTGCTGCAGTCCTACTTAGGCATCCCATGGAAATGGGAAAGTTAGTTGTTGTTGAAAGCCTTTGCATGCCATGCCATGCAAGAAGTTCCTTTAAATTTAAGAGAGAGAGAGAACGAGAGCGAGAGAGAGACAGAGAGAGGCAGAGAGACAGAGAGAGACAGAGACAGAGCAAGAGAGACTGGAAGGTAGAAGGAAGGAGAGGAAAAAAGAGGAAAAGCAAAACTTAAAAAAGAAAAAACGCAACAAGTTGCAGTGTTAATTTTGCTTCTACTTGCCATTTCGCGGGAGTGGAAAAAGTTTTAAAAAGCATCGCGGTTCCCCGGCGTCCTAG